GTCACTGCGCAGTGATGGTTTGTTTTAGTCCTTCTGACTTTCTCCAGCAGTAGAATGTCTACAAATGTGAGCCAAAAAGCAGCAAGTGTCTGTAGCTCTTACTACACTAAACCCACATTTCTCTTTATACTTACAATAAGCAAAAAACAAAAGTAATGAACTAAATTAACTGCTCTGAAAAACTACCTTAAACAGGTGCAGCCTACCAACCCAACACAGAGGCTTTCTAGAAACGTTACTTATGTGCTTTCTGACACTGTATACAACAGTTAGTTCCGGCCACGCAAGCTGATTGGTTGAGAAGTGTTCTAACTGTGCTGTTATGGCATTTTTTCACAAACACTATATCACTCCACTGAGACACCGTTGCTGAGCAACGACTTTGACCGCTGTAGGAGACGCTCAAGCCGTTTGAAGGTTTTTTACTTCTTACTTTGCCACAAACAGAAAATGGACACTTTTGAGATCACATTTGACCGTCAGACTCTGAAGATGAGACGACACTAAATTCCCAAACTGTCATCACCACTGAGCAGCTTTTCAGTCGGCAGCTGTGACAGAAGAACAGCTAAACAACCTGGAATCAGCCAGAAATGAACCCAACACCATTCGCCAAACTAAATGGGCTGTAAGATGCTTTACAGACTGGCTGGAACAAAACAACATTAATACTGATCTGGCAAAAAATAACAAAACTGAGCTAAACTTTGTGGCAGTTTTATGGCTCAGTTTTTACTTCAAAAGGCGAGGCAACGAGCCGCTTGTTAAGGAACTATAATTTGGCGGAAGGAACTGCAAACATTAAAACATATTAAACGCCGCGTTCACGACCCAGTTTATTTATTTATTACTTTATTTATTTAACTGTTGTATAAAAGCAATAGAACACACTTCCTCTTGTGTTCTATTGCTTAAGTATGTCGTACTGTTATAGACTTGCCAAATACAATCGTGTCTACACTTTGGTCCATGTTTATTAAAAATACAATCTCATAGAGGGTTGTCAAAATAATTTGAAAAACTGAATTCAAAGAAAATAAAAAGCACAATAGAATGCAGACAACGTCCACTCAAATGATGAAAGCCTCTGCTGCAGCTCTTATATGTTCCAGGCCAGTTAGTTACTAACATTATCCCAAACGATGACTGCCAAACAGAGGAAAGAACATGCTATTGCTGACCATAAACAAACACAACACCTATTTGTTTTGACTTTAATAAGAATTGTATGGGACTTTAAAATACTACAGGAATATCTGCAGACATCAGACAGGTTTTTAGCAGCTTGGTCTTTCTGAATGAGGTGATATACTTTATAAACTGAATAACGCTAATGGGCAACAACACGTTCTCATGTGAAATAAGCAATAATTGCTTGAGAGGGCAAACGTTTTCTGAAAGTTAACACTCCGAACGTTGTATAGCAAGATAAAAAATACCTAATATTTAGGGTGAAACTGCTGCACAGCTATTGCAACCACCTGCACCAAGTACAAGCTTTTACTTTCACTACTAAGTTTTCAGCAGAGCCAGTCTCTCTGGCTTATGATGAAAGAGATCCTACACAAACATGCGTCAGAACTGGCCTCTGTACCTTTTTGATTACCATCTTACAAGTCAATTACAAGTCAATTACAAGTCTATTTCTCATCCTATTTGACTGCACTCAGTTTCAGAAATCACAATCAAGTCTCTTTATGATTACTTAACAACTCACCACAATTTGAGGCAAATGTTGGATAATTTAGGCTACGTTCACACAGCAGGTAAAAGTGGCCCAAATTCGATTTTCTCACCAAATCAGATTCTTTTGTTTGGCTGTTCACAATATATTTAAATGTGATCTGTACGCGATATCAGTCTGAACAGATCAGCTCCTAAACTGAGCCACATGCGCAAAAGAACAGAGCTTCACGTTGCTTCACGGCTCATCCAGAGGTAAACAATCACGACTGCCAACGAACGCCAGTCACTCCCGGAGGATCAGCTTCAACTTCACCAGCATCACAGGAGCCATCATGAAACTTCACTGACTGACAGCTGGGCTCATCACTCAGACTGTGATCGAGCTCACCATAAAAAAGGGCGCGGTCACTTCTTCTTTCTTCATGTCTGGATGCTTTTAACTTTGCTTTCAGACTTTTTAAACTGTTCTTTGACACTGCAGCCTCGCTCTCCTACGGCCGCATTCAGACATTTCTTTCAGAATCTCTTCAAACACGGAGCAGCTGGGATAAGAGCCTTATAATTTTTTGTACAGAAATATCAGCCTAAATGTTTATGAGTCTCAGCAGCGAGAAATTATGACACATGCGGAGCTGGATTGATGTAAAAGTCGCATGAATTCCGATGTGGCTGCTCAGACTGAGTTGCACTGCCACGGATTGGATACGTATCTGAAAATATCAGATTCAGTGTGTTTTACTGTTCACACTGACACACAGACACACATCTGTCAGATAAGAAGAAAAAGATCGGATCTGGGCCACTTTTACCTTCGGTGTAAACACAGCATTAGGCATGCAGTTTGGTGCTAGCAAGCAAGCGTCCATTGCTGCATTAGCCTCACAGCTCCAGCACAAACTAAAGAAGCAAACTTCATTAAACAAGCATGTTCTTCCTGCCTGGCTACATCTGGAGTACATATGTAAATATGTAAATTTGATTTCAAGCCAAACTACGCCTTTAAAGTGGTGTAACACATTTTAACACACTGTAGAACAGGGTGTGTCTATGGATATGAGCTACGGCTTTTCAGCTGCTGCTCCTCCAGTGCTGGCTGAATGAATGGAATTACAGGAAACTACCCACCCACAAGCCACTACAGACACACATTCCTGAAAGGGGGAAAAGCCCTGGCTGTGGTACAGGATGAGAAGCACATTTGTTTTAGCACACTTCTCTCTGAGCCCCTCTCTCCATCCGCCTCTGTGAAAACCATCGCTAATGCGTTTCAGCGAGCAGCTGCCGGCGCGGCGGCGTCGAACTCCTGCATGAAAGCGATTCCTGATGGACACATGAGCTCGGACGGTGGGGGCTCCTGCATACAGGCTTTCGGGCAGATGTTTCAACAGCAGGTTCTGCTGCTTTTGAGTTTACAGATACAATAAAATGCTGCTGTTGCATCTGTTCAGCTTGTAAACTCTTATTTATGAAGCTAGCTCACTAGCTTTGATACAGCGTTGAGCAACAAAGTTAAAAGGCCCACATCATCAAAACCTGAAATTCCCTCACTTTTTGAAAACAAAAGGTTTTGATGTAGTATGTAAGTGTTGGTATGTTTTTAAAATAGTCCAAAAAAGTTAGCTAAGCTGCAAAAATCAGGCCGATTTGAATCTCTGTGTGGTTTTGGTGATGTTAGACCTTTAGATATCAGCCTACAGCAGTTCTGAGGCATAAAAAAGGTTAAAAATTGTAACAACAAATGTAGTTTCTGCTATATAAATCCAAACAAGCATCATATAAGAAAAAAGATGGAAAATAAAATCTCATATATATGTTGGGTAATTAAAGTTTGCTTCTAGTTTTGCACTGAATGTACAAGGCTAAAGTAGCTAACATGCAATGAAAGCTTATACACAACCAATAAGCACCATGCAAACTGCCTCAAACCAATTAATTTCTGACATTACGAGTTTTATCTATTAAAATAGGCAAAAAGAACAGACAAAACTCAGACTTCAAGGTCACTACTACTGTTTTAGCTGTTATGTACTTTTGTCCATGTTTTTTAGATAACAGTAGCCACGTTTACATGCAGCCTAATAATCTGTTAATAATCCAAATAATAGCTCAATCAGATTAGAATACCACCATGGGTACACCTCAGTTGGAATAGTCTAGTCCGATTGAGGCCATTCGGAATACAATTTCTATCAGATTGATCGAGGTGGGTAATCCTGTAAATAATCCATTAAATAGAAGAATAATATCCGTGTAAACGTCTGTATCTGATTACATTCCCAATCGGAAAGTTTAAGTCCGTTCTGCATGTTCGTCGCGTCATAGAGAAAGTTTATACCGTTCAACATGGCGGAGCAGAAACTGGTCTGCAGAGGAGACGAAGTTTATGCTCTGATCTTTAAAAGACGGCGGTGGGACGGATGTCCAGTTTATGTGTCTCAGAACGCGACGTCTTCCTCTCGGCCTTCTTTAATAAGGACATGTGAAGGACGTTTTCCTGAGTCTGACATCATTTTAAAGCAATTAAAAACACAAGCACTGCTCACTGCTGCTCATCTCACTCTGACTGGACTCACGTGATGCTGGTTGCCATGGTAACGTCTACAATAAGTGGTTCTCTACACGCGTGTGTAATTTTGGATCTGATCACTTGTAGTGTGGAGGCGGACGGAGAGAGGGGCTCAGAAAGAAGTGTGCTAAAACAAATGAAGATTTTCCAGAGTGTTGAGTAGAGTGAGCATAAACACCTCAGTCTTAACCAGTAATCGGAATGTGTTCAATCTGATCGGCAAAAATCTTTGCATGTAAACACAGCCAGTGTCATACGGTGTCAGAAACCACATGATCAAGTCCATTAGAGATACCGAACACCTCCACAGTTTGAGGTGAGTATGTGATGATTCAGGCAGGTAGTTTGCATGACGCTAGTTGATGTATTATTTACTACATGAGTCTCACAGCTCCAGAGTTAAACTAAAGAAGCAAACTTCAGAACCAAACATGTCTTGGCTGATTGAAGAGACTGAGGGTAAATGAGGAAACTGTACACTCTTCTGAACCAAGACTATCTAAGATTAAATAAATGAACTGGCGGAGATTCCAGCTTTGTATTCCACCCTCAGGGTTAGTCTCTTCAGATGTGGCTCAATTTCTTTAATGAAAAATTCTTTAGAGCTACTTCAGGATCCAGTGATGTTTCACAGATTAATGGTGCTGTTTTTCTTCAGCAGCAGCCAGACAAGGTTTGTGCACAGTAAGTGCGTGTGTGTGTGTGTGCGCTAAACATAACGTAACTTTCAAAGTGACAATTCACTCACCCACAACCATGAGCGTGAACTCAAAGCCTCGCTTCACAGACTTTCTGTAAACTTGGTTGGGGAGATTCGCGAAGCCCACATATCCTTCCAGGTTCTTCTGTTGCTGTGGACCAAAACCAAACACAGCCGACGGTTTTAGCAACTGCCTGGTCTGTTTGACAAAGTGCTATAAATGACATGAGAGTGCTGCCCTTGAGGGCCCCCGACTGGAGCTCCAGAGTCAACCAAAAACACTCAAACACTTAAGAGCTTGGCAGTTGAGGCTTTGTTTCTAAACAGCAGAGGCGCTAAAATGTACGTGGTAATTCAACTGCATCAGTTTTGCAATTTTACAATCGATTATATTATGAATTATATATGTATTTCATAAGATGTGCTCATTTTGTGTTCAAAATAAAATTCTCAGGCTTTTAATTTTTGAAAAAGCTGTAGACTGTTCTGTTGACTATAATAGCTCCTTCATTCACATTTGTGTATTTATTGTATTAAAAATAATTCTAAATCGCACAAATCAAACTGAATCTGAAAATTTAAGAGTTGTATCCCAAAGAATCATAACTATATATGATCACCCACATGAAGTAATAACATAACATTGATTTCTATTATATTTATCCCAAAATTAACTCGTTTCACTGTAATAATTTTAAAGTGAGTGATATTTGTGCTGAAGAAAGACTAAATCGTACCAAAATACTGGCACTGAATCGTGGTGACATTTTACATTTCATAACGCATTAACCTTTTCATCTCCTTGAGACCACTGGTGGTTCCAAAACACACTTCGTCATATTTTTAAGAACTTTCATATTTCATAAGCTACATTCAAAAGGTGGGGGTCGTATGAGAGCTGTAACTGTCCTCTTTCCAGTCAAATAGATGGGTGATGTAATTTTAAACCCTTATAATAAAAAAAGCTGAACTCACAATTTTTTTTCTACTGAAAGTCGACCCATTTTTCCACAAATCTGGGCTATAAACTATAAACAGATGGCGTCTCTTCAGTGATCAGCTTTGTAAAAATTATTTTTATAAAATTATACAAAGAGCGTCTAAGATTTTTAGCTTTCAACAGTAAATTGTAAGCATATAGCAATATGTGTGATCATAAAACACATGTTCTGTTAATTTGAGGGGAGTTTCCTTATGATTTGGTCATGTAAATTCAGATGGACAAACCGAAATATACCCTGGTGAAGAAGAGGTTACATAATTTCCTAAAAGAATCCTAACTGAATAGCAGAGGTAAGAAATTTACACCTTTGCTGAACAGGTGTTGCGCAGTACAGTCAGTAATTTCATCACTGCTGTATTTCGCAACATGTATGAAGTTGAGTGCAATTGTTCTTCAGATGCAGATGATAACATTTTAAACCTTGTGTGGTGTTGATGTTTTGTTACCCAGGGGGTCGGGTTGACCAAACACATTATTTTTCTTAAGTCAATACAGCCATAACAATTTATGTAAAAATACCAGATGTATGGGTTAAGACAGCATGACAAGCTGAAAAAGCTCAGGCCTCAGCCTCATACTTACTGCTACTTTGGAGATCATCAGGATACCATTATTCCACAGATGGATGGCAGAGGGACACGCAGGAACAGAGTGACGAAAGTCCAGGATCCAGTCGAGAGAGAGAGAGAGAGAGAGAGAGAGACATTAAGCATTAAGCTTTTGAGTCTTGGCAGTTGCTCTGTGAGAGATTAGTCATGCCTGAGGCTGACAGCTCATCCTCCAACGTCAACCAAACTCATGACAAAATGCTGCTGTTGACAGTGTTGCACACATTCAAGACTCTAAAAATACAGAGGCGTAGCAGGTCTCAAAAACTCACAGAATTCAGTCGGGCTACAGTCGGACTTGGACAGAACTCAGTCGGGCTACAGTCAGGTTCAGACAGAATTCAGTCAGGCTACAGTCAGATTCAGACAGAATTCAGTCAGGCTACAGTCAGATTCAGACAGAATTCAGTCAGGTTATAGTCAGTTTCTCCTGGAAAATTTAGCGCTGTGGTGGGGCAAACATGGCAAGGAAATTGTTTTTTGATATCATTTTAGGTTCAAAATTTTTGGCCTGGTCTTAACTTGCATAGTTAACACTGGTTTTAATTTACACTGGTTGAGAGCAGTAGAAAAGAAACTGAAGTTCTTAGCTGACCAAACCACTGTCTGATGATGAAGGGCTGTTAACAGTTAACTGTTGTATGATTAACTGCTAGAAGGAATTTCAAAGTATTACAAACAGCAAAAGCCTACTTTTGCAGAGTGATGTGAAACTGAGCTGCACTGCCTTTTAAGGCTGATTCACAAACTGTGAGAAAACATCCTGCTTACAGCCGCACTCCAGACTGACTGTTTAATGCTTGTTTGATGATCTGATTAAAGCTGTGAGAACATGACCCGAAGAATATTACACTAAAGTAAAACAGTGCCAAGTACAAAAGAGAGGATCTAACCAATTAGCTAGACATCCTCTCTGACCATAAACCATGACAATACAACTCAGACACCTTTTAAAAACTAATGTAAGATGTACGTATGTATTGTCTATCATGCTGTCCTCTAAAACAACCTGTAATATTTACTCTAGAGATATTAATCAAATAATCTAAGGATTATTTTGACAAATAACTGCAAAGAGTTTTAAAGAATATGAAACAAAAATGGATTTAACTGAATAAAACAAGCTATATGGAGCCGTTCAAAGACTGCAAACCACTTAAACAGAAAAATATAAGCTATTAAGCCTTTTAAAAGATTTCATAAATTAAATGAACAAATAAAAACACTGTGATAAAAATAAAATCTGGCTGAGTTTACATGCAAAGATTTTTGCCAATCAAATTACATCTACTCAACAATCTGATGGAAATCTCAGTTTACATGCTCACTACAAGTAATCCGATTCAAAATTACGAGCATACGTAGAGAACCACTTAGTGTAGATGTTACCATGACAACAAGCATCACGTGAGTCCAGTCAGAGTGAGACGCGCAGCAGTGAGCAGTGCTTGTGTTTTTAATTACTTTAAAATGATGTCAGACTCAGGAAAACGTCCTTCACGTGTCCTTATTAAAGAAGGCCGAGAGGAAGACGTCGTGTTCTGAGACACATAAGCTGGACGTCCGTCCCACCGCCGTCTTTTAAAGATCAGAGCATAAACTTCGTCTCCTCTGCAGACCAGTTTCTGCTCCGCCATGTTGAACGTTACAAACCTTCACTATGATGCGATGCACATGATCAGAACATACTTAGGCTACGTTCACACAGCAGGTAAAAGAGGCCCAAATCTGATTTTCTCACCAAATTCGATTTTTGTGTTTGGCTATTCACATTATCTTTTAAATGTGATCTGTATGCGACATCAGTCTGAACAGATCAGCTCCTAAACTGACCCACATGCACCACAGAACAGTGCATCACGTTGCTTCTCGCGGCTCATCCAGAGGTAAACAATCACGACTGACAACGAACACCAGTCGCTCCCGGAGTCATGGAGCTTCCCTGACTGACAGCTGGGCTCATCACCCAGATTGTGTTCGAGCTCGCCATAAAAAGGGCACGTTATTCAGACACGGTCAGTTGGTTTGGTTCGCGTCCTCGGATTCTTTAAACTTTGCTTTCAGACTTTTTCTTGAAGCTGCAGCCTCGTTCAGCCATTTCTTTCAAAATCTCTTTGAACACTCAAAATCTCTTTGAGGGTTTTGGAGATGTCTCTTCTAATTTTCCAGAACAGAAACATCAGCCTAAATGTCTGAGGTCTCAGCAGTGCGAAATTATGATGAATGTCGGGTTGGATTGATGTAAAAATTGCATGAATTTCGATCTGGCTTTTATAGAATCGAATCTAACTGCCGCATATCGGATATGGATTTGAGTACCGCATATGAAAGCGTGTTTTTGCTGTTCACACTGACAAACAGAGACACATCTGTGTCACATATGAAGAAAAAGATCGGGTTTGGGCCACTTTTACTTGCTGTGTAAAGGTAGCCTTAAACTTTCTGATTGGGAATGTAATCGGATACAGGTGTTTACACGGCTATTATTCTTCTATTTAACACATTATTTACAGGATTACCCACCTCGCTCAGTCGGATAGAAATTGTATTCCAAATGGCCTCAATCAGACTAGTCTATTCTGACTGAGGTGTTTACATGGATGTACTCTATTCCAACTGAGCTATTAGTCGGATTATTATTGGGTTATCAGGCTGAAGGTAAACATGGTTAGTGTGACGTTTAGGAGAGATTGGTAGGAGAACCAAAAATATGAACCAATACCATGCAGACTACCAACTATCCTTATGACTGCCAATTCATCAAGAAGAACTTTTTAAAAATCATGTTTAGTTGACCAACATTACAACCCTAACTGAATAAACTCATCATTTCTGCTCACACAGAAAGACTTTTTTTTGGAGAGGCTGCAGAAAACATAACTTCTGCCCTCAGCACTGCGTGTTCCAGCAAACTCACAACTTTAAAATCCAGCCCACAAAATGCACCAGCAGGCTTTTCCTTGAATAACATCCACATCTGCTGAAAGGGCACATCAGTTAAAGGTGATTTCTGAGAAGCAGCTCTGACTAATTTGACTAAGAAAACATGCTAAAAAATTCAGCCAGTGGAGAGAGAAAGAGAGAGATGGGGAAGTGGGGGACTAAAAGTAGTTATTTCAATATGATGATCAAACCAATGTTATAAAAGAGGACAGTTCTGGGGCCGAACTGCAGAAACTTCCCATATTTTGTCCCAGGTTAAGATCTCATGACGTCAAGATAAGATTTTTCGCAAATATGTATTACAGAAGCAAAACGTCTCAATTTAGGAATTTATCTGATCTTTTCTCAAGTTAGATAAACCTAAACTACTTAGACGTCGACAATCAACTGTTATGTCTGTTATCTAGCAACCAGAGATACACACACAGCTGAAATCAAAATAATGTTGAAAAAAATGTTACAGCTGCCGTTACTGACGTAATAAAGGTCAAAGCAAAACTAAAGTGCAATAATCTGTGAGAGCGCCCCCTGCTGTTTATCAAAGCGTCGCCACCCCCAGTTTCAGTTTCCATTTCCCAAACATTTAGCCAAGCGCGCTAACGTTATAAACAGACACTCGCTCAGCTCTGTCTCCTCATTATTTACCACCATCACTGTAATATTTTACCTAACGAGTTTTCATCAACATTAACACACGAAGGCAATAAGAGGGGACGGTGAAGATTGTGTCTGCAGCGCGGGGCTCTGGTTGTCCTTAAGTAAGGACAGTATGTAGGAAATTTTGTCTAGTTATGATGTTTCTGTAACACTTATCTGGACTTAGGATAAGATCAGAAACTTTTATCCTGTAGTAGCTTTATATTAGTCTTAAGTTTTCATGGTGACTAAACATGAAAGATTTCAGACCTTTCTGAAATACGGCTGATCTGAAACCTGATTGACTGAGCCACACTGTAAGCCATAGTTTATTATAGTGTGCAGTCTACACAGAAAGACAACATAATCAAAATAGAAAAAGGCTGATTCTCTTTAGGGTAGAGATGCACGCACTGAGGTTTCATTTGAACATTTTTTAATCGAAACTTCCACAGACAGACAGACAGACAGACAGGCAGACAGACAGACAGAGAGACAGAGAGACAGACAGAGAGACAGACAGAGAGACAGACAGAGAGACAGACAGACAGGCCCAAATACAGCAACTAAACGAAAGTCTGTTGCAGATAGTGCACCACTTCCTGCCCATGTTATCGATCTGGTTGCTCCTCTGAAGGACAGGTGCGAAAGAGAATGTGAGCGTAAGCACATATACACTCCCGCAGGGTGAAGCCTAATACAGAGTGAGGAGGAGAGTGCACTTAATGTTCAAATATCTAAATAAATATGAATTATTTTGACAATTAATCACAAGAGTTTTCAAGACGAGCAAACAATAGAAATACATGTAACCGAACAATAAAAAGTTATGCAGAGCCTTTCAAAGATTCCAAAAAAAATTAATATGAAAAAGATATACTATTAAGCCTTTAAAAGCTTTTATATAATACAATCCCATTTCCAAAAAAGTTGGCACATTGTGCAAAATGTAAATAAAAATAAAATGCAATGATGTGCAAATCAATTAAAAATTGAAAGTAGTATAAAGACAACATATTAAATGGTGAAACTGAGAAATGTTATTGTTTTTTTGAAAAATGTTCGCCCAGTTTGACAACATGTTCCAAAAAAGTTGAAACGAGAGCAACAAAAGGCTGGAAAAATTGTGTAATGCTTAAAATAAATAAATAAATATATAAATAAATATAAAAAAAAGAGAGTCTGTCATAGAGGCTGAGTCTTTCAGAAGTAAAGAGGAGGAGGGTTCATCACTCTGTGAAAGACCACACGATCAAATAGTGCAACAATTCAAGAATAACGTTTCTCAACATAAAATAGCAACTTTTGCTTTTCATCATTTACGGTGTATAATATCATTAAAAGACTCAGAGAATCTGGAGAAATCTCTGTATGCAAGGGACACAGCTGAAAACCAGTAT